CTGCACTAATACTTCGATAAATTTTTTTTTATAAAAGTTGATGTATGTACTGTATAGTGCAGAAAGTGAAAGGTGAGCTGTTTAAACTGTAGAATTAAGGGAAAATTAGCTATATAAGACGGATACAAGGAGCTGCTATACGAGGTGATATTAGTACTTATTTTCATGCTATGGATAAATTTTTTATCTGTTTAGCGTAATATTTAAATCATCAATATTAAAAAAATCGACGATATATGTCTTAAAAGTAACCGCTCATAACTCTACTGGTAACTGCGTGCGTATTTAATTTATTAGCAGCAGCTAATGATTATGCACTCTTCTAACAATTTGCATTAGTATGATAGTTAAGAGCAAGCTACAAAAGTTAAGTATAATCAATGCTATCCAGTCTTACCTTCATCGCTGGTTGCAGTAGATGATGTCTGCTCGACTTGTTTCTCTATCCAATGAACAGTAATAGCATAGTTATCATAAAAATGATCGATATAACTATAGCGACATTTTGCATTACAAATAGCATCCAATAAACTGTGCAGAACATTCGGTCTTCGCTATGATACGTCTTAACTTGTTAGATGCTTGTATAGTATCACATCAGTATATTAATGATATAATCCTTATAGATAAACAAGCTTAAAAAGTATTTGGTGTTAATCTGTTTTTGCATTACATAATTATCAAGACTCTTAGCATTTGTAGTAAGCTTAGTAAGCTATCAGTAATTGATACTTGTTGAAACTTTATCGTACTAAAACAAAACTTAATGCAATACTGTAAGATAACTACATCAATTTTTACGTTAAGTAATACACGGATTGATTTCATACGGAGTATAGTAGAAATGCTGTTTAGTTATTATAACTTAAGATCGAATTTATAACTTATGAAATGCTACCATAAAAGCATAACCTAAATTTTGATAAATTACTGCTGCAAATGAACTATAAACGAGATCAAACCAATCACTCTATGCTTACCAGCTTCCGGTACTACCCTTTGCTCTTTTTCTTGCTGTTGATCTGTTGAAATGATTTTGTGTTTCTCGGGCATAGTTTGTGATGAGCCTTCTGATTGTTTAGCTGCTTCATAAGCCGATTTTAGCATACATATAAAATGTATTAAAATTAGAAAGGTACCTGGTTTAAACAACAATTTATCTATTATGCTTCTAGGCAGGTGCAACAGTAAAAAGTACGACTAGTTTCTCTATAAAACTATGTTTTCTACAGGTAATTAAAATTGATGCAATATCTGTGAAAGGAAGCTTTGGCAAAAATGACAGTGGATAAATTATTGCGAAATATATGATGTGAGGAAGTAACTGTAACTATACTGTATTCGCCTTGTAAGTGTTCAATATTTCTATGATATACCGCTTGTGTTTACTTAATTATGAGCAATAATGCTACCTAGAAGTTTTTTTTCCTCGTAAATCATCCAGTCTTTAACAGATTTGCTTCTTACACTTATTAAATAAATATAAGATTCTTATATTTATACTTATATATAAATCTCTTATATTTTATTTGAGCGAAATATATACTGTATATTATAGGCTACATCGACTATCTAAAGGAAAGAAATAAGGTTGGATTTTGAATAGCAACAGTAAATAACCAATGATTCCATCGTCCATTTTATTGTATAGATTGTTAAAGGTAGTGATTCATGCATGAATGATATGATATGTAGATATCCTAGTTACTTACGCCTTCTATTGCAAGTATTTTGAAGTTTTCAAACTGACGTATACTGTCTAAGCAAGATGAGAACTATCGTCTACTACTGTCTAGTGTCTAGTAGCTATCGATGATGATCTACTTTGTACAAATTAGGCTGCCTCATTTTGAACTTGATACAAGTGTTGGCTTAAATAGATATTTATACAGGCCCAGTCAGTCCAATGCTCTAGCTTTACTGATGCCCAGTCGATAGAAAATGTATAAAGTAGGTGTATTTGTTGACTGTTTATTCAACGATGTGGTTCATCCAGCAAATGATGCAACTTACAAATTATGATGGAGGGACGATTATTGGAATAATGTCAGGGTTACCAACCCATTCTACGTTTAAAATGATAGCGATTAATTAAGACTATTGTCACTTGTTGAAGGACTTACCTATTCATTAAAGTAGATGCGAATGCTAACACCCAGCAATATCTATAAAACACACAGATTAACAAGTATAAGAGAAATTCAGTTCACAACCCAAAATGTCAATGAGTCTTTACTTTAAGTATTTGTCTAATGAGTAATGAAAGTGATTAGCAATGGCATGGATGATAGTCATAATATGTAATGAGTCATTTGATTGTAATTCAGCTTATTGAACAACTTGCCATGTCAGTAAAGCTAGTCAGTCAGTATTTTCTTCTAGGTCAATCTTCGTCAGCAAGGCGCATAGCCCACCCAAGACTTTGTGATCAAATCGAGTATCTCATTCTTGCTTCTCTATCTTGTCCTTGCAAAATATCCACTCGTCTATTGTACTAGTCAATTATAGTTTAGTAATTCCTTGTGTTTTTGGTCATCCTCTTGGCAAGTTGACGATCTGTAATAAGTTAAAACTGGCAATACTTATTCTACTTTAATACCTTGAGTAATGTCCATCAAGTCATTGTAATTTAGGGTAGAGTCTGCTATCAAAAATTTTGTAGCATGCTTATATGCTTATATATATATATTATATAACAGATATTTGTCTACAGTTCTACAAAACCTTTCATAATAATAACTACATTCTATCGAAAATGACAACTAGATATGCAGGTACTCGTGTTTATCTTTACAATTGATTATGAACTTTAGCAAGTTGGCGAAATTTGGAATGATAGCTAATAAGGAAAACGGACTGTATAAGTGACAGCAATTGATTTAGTAAAGATCTTGAGTAACGTTAATTGAAGCGACTACAAAATGAAATTACGTAATGATTTTAACCAAAACTTGGCCGTACTTGAGCAATTCCATTTTCAAACCAGTCATTAACTCATCACTATTTTTCAGCATGAAAGTCAACATGGTACAAAGTGTGAAACGATTGACTAGTGCTAGTAAACACCAGAAATGATTACCGTGCAGGGATAATCCAGGATATTGTCCAGGGATAAAACCCAGCAATATCTATAAAACACACAGATTAACAAGTATAAGAGAAATTCAGTTCACAACCCAAAATGTCAACTATAGGTCTAATGGCGATAAAGGGGGGACGATTATATTATGGCAATAATGTTAGGGTTGCGTT